CAACACGTCGAAGCACTTGCTTATTTTATTTACTATAAATCTTTTCAGCTGTTTTGTATCCCAGGTCGCTTCAATAAGACAAACATGTCATATAAAAGTCATATAAGTTACAGTTATAGCGCAACATAAGCTTGTAACAGTCACTCCGGCGATAATTACGTGACGATTTACCTGAATAAGTTACCTTTATACGATGTCTATGTGACTGAATTGCTGAATAAAATGGGCCCAAATCGCGTTGTATAAACGTTTTCATTACGTTTATACGACTTCTATTAGGAGCCAAAATGCTGAATAATTTTCGTTGCCGCGACTACTATACGACATATTTTTGCTAGTTGGGATGTCAAGAGTAAGGTGTCTCCTCTGACCGGGGGCCCCTTCCAGCTAGGGGCCAGTGACATTTTGCCGACTTGCCACCCTGTAGTTACGCCACTAGAGAGGAACTATAATACAACCGGAAGAGAGACCTTAGCAGTATAGTGTGAGCCATGTGCAAGTTTGGCCGGTACGTCGAGGGACTTTTCATCAAATAACTCCAAAGATGCTCGTGACAACTAGCATAAGGTCCCGGTTTTCCAAAAAAATCTTGAAGATTTAGAATCGATCGGCGATCCCTTTAGGGGGAGATGCTGGTCTGACCAAGGATATGTCGTGTCTGACGGAGTGTTATACAGGTACGAACATGATAAGAGCGACGAAAAGACGGCGTGCTTCGATGTACCAGATCATGACCGAGCTAGGGTACTAGCGGAATACCATGATGCGTTGACTGCAGGACATTTTAATTTGGAACGTACCCTAGCGCGAATGAAATCCAAATATTATTGGCCCGGAATGCAACAGTATGTTATCGGTTATCCAAATAAGAGTGTATACTATCAGAGATATAAAACTGACAATAGAAAGCCGGCTGGATTACTACAGACGCCTGTAACAAATCGTCGCTTTTAAGTTGTCGCCGTGGATTTATTCGGACCTTGACCGGAGACCGCTGATAAAAATAAGTGGATCCTTATTTTAGAGGACACCTATTCCTGATAGGTGGAGCTGTTCTCTCTACAAAACGCCACCAGCTCAGATTGCGCCAAGACCTTAGTTTCAAAGTCTTCCTGCGGTACGGTGTAACCTAGACGTTTCTTAAGCGACAATGAATTCCATTCCAAATCTGGTGGAGAGGAAGAACCGTGACCCGAAGCCTCAGCTCGCCATCCTGTTGAGCAAAGACCATAAAAGTTGGGATGTACATACATTTACCTGCGATACGTTTCACTATGAACTCCGCCGTGACCATTAGCATTTTCTCTCCGGCTTACCCTACATTTTGGCGCGAGATGCGCACTCCAGCTGATGTGATCGCCGACATACGTAATATTCTTATCTTCATCCGATGTCAACCGTGTTGTTTGAAGTTAAGGGAAGTACATGAAAAGGTCCAAATGAATCAGAAACGTTTGGCAGATGAAGGTTGCCGCCCAGCACCAGATTATTCTTCAGGGGACCGTGTGCTTCTTAAGACACAAATGCGGTAGACCTAAACGTTACCTCGTTTACTTTACCTTACGCGAGGATGCTATGTCTAGGTGAGAAGGGAAAGATGTAATGCGATGGTTAGTAAAAAGAACAACTCACTCTTTTTTAAAAATGCGCGTCCTCCGTTTAGCGCCGTCAATCAATTTCGCTAAAGATCGAGTACGGAATTTCACTATAACTTCGAGCGAAAATGAGTTTTATTACACAGTCCACCGAGAACCGTATATGGTCGCGAGGCGCGCATTATCAAACACTTTAATATTTGTTTCTACTGCTTTATGTGATTCTTATGTATTTTAAAACTGTAATTATATCTATTGAATCGTAAAATGTATCTAGAACTCTTATTTAAGCCCCGAAACTTACATAAACACCTAACACTTACATTTTTTACAAGTTATATAGGTCTTCAGTATAAAAAAATATGTAATAATACATAAAGCACAGTATAATATGTTTCGGAACGAATTTTTTCCAATATCATATCAAACTTCAAAAAGATTAAATACAGATTTCAAAGAAAACATAAACCCTAACTAATTCAACAATAGAGTGAACATCGAAAAATGACAATGAAACCCAGTAAGATTTATTGACTTATTGCTAAATTACATCAATAGTTTCTAGTTCTTCTCTTCGTTCACTGATCGGTTTCCTCGCGTCCTAAATATTATTTTATTTCATAGAGAATATTTACAGACGGAATATTCGGGAAAACTCTATATATATATCAGTAATACCAGGGAGAAAGAGGACCAGTAGGTCCCGTCGTTTCTGTTGGATAGTCTGTCACACCTTATTTACTGCATACGTAACGGATGCTTTACATTGTCTATATATTTTTTGTGTCTGGCTGGCAAAGGCCGAACTGTCACTTGCTCTCTTCCTCACTGACTACGACACAGGTAACATTCTGTACAAATATATTAATCTCAATAATGTTTATATATAATTAGAATAATAGTTAACAATGTGACGTCGCATATTCTATACGTGTATTTATGGTAAATACAAAGTTGAATTGCGTGTATGTGTGTTTGATTTATCGTGCCTGCCTTCCACCGTATAACCTAGCTCTGTTAACAGTTTTAACTCTCTAAAAGCGCATTGAAAAAAATAAAAATCTCTTTATGAGACTACTATAATATTGCTTTCCCGATCAAGAAAAAATATGTTAATAAAAGGAAATCACTATTGTTAACAAATGGAATTTAGATTTTCAGAATAAAATTAGTTAAGATACAATTTCTCTATGATTGTAATCGAAAAAAATATTTGCAAATGTATAAGAAAATATTCAAAAAACTTTTAGTAACAGCAAAAAAATTAACATTTGTATAAAGAATTGAAAAATCTAAAAATAATGTCAATAATGGAAAATAATAAATGAGCAATTGAACAAAAAACGCAGACAGTCTTTTGTTAAGTTCTATTATAAATGTCAGTGGTAACTTGGTAAACAATAATAAGGATGTGGCAAATGAGTTAACAACTTATTTTGCAAAAACATTGCAGATCAGCTAACGAAAGATATTGAAGTTGATAGAAGAAAATGCACACAATATGTATGCAATTCAAAAAAAAAATCTTGCTACAGCATTACTTTTACGCCAATAACATACCGGGAACTTGAGTAAATTGTAAAGTCTTAAAAATAAACAGTCCCGAGATATCTACTACATGGTTTGAAAGACAATAAAACAGCTAATTCTGGCAAATGATTATTTTCTAAACCTTATTTTATTAGTTTTTAATAGCTGCCTTGATCAGGGTATATTTCCAGAAACTTTGAAGATAGGTAAAATTGTTCCTCTCTATAAAAAAGGTGATACAAAATTAATAGAAAACTATAGGTCAATATGTTTACTTACCTGTGCTTTCAAAAATAATAAGGGTTAAAGAATGAAATTACAGATTTGTACTGCAAATCAAAATTGTTTAATTTTTAACAAATTTATTTAATCAAAATAGTTACCTTATTATCTATACATTGCTGCCATCTAATAGGAAGGTCATTTATGCCTTTGCGATAGAACTCTGAGGATCTAGATTGCACAAACTATGTGAAAGCATTTTGTACTGCCTCCTGGGAAGAAAACTTCTTGTAACGCAGATAATTGTCCAAATCACGAAAAAATGGTAGTCCGTTGGAGCAAGGTTTGGCGAATACGTAGGATAACGAATGGTTTCTAACTGCAGTTCCCGAAGGGTCAAAAATTCATGAGTCAGGGCTGTTTTAGTGCTAGTTTTGTCAACATTGTTCGGAGTTCGGCACAATAGACATCTGCCGTTATTGCTTAACCAGATGGGAGAAAACTATAGTGAATAAAACCATATTTCATCACATGTCACAATTTGATCCAATATTCCTTCATTTCTGTACCGTTTCAACAAGGCAACACAAGATTCAACACGCGTTTGTTTCTGCAGATCAGTCAATTCAAGAGGCACCCATTTTTCGTATTTATTTATTTTATTGATTTGAAGCAAATGAGTCAATATTGTGGAGGTAACGTTAAAACATGCCGCTTAATCCTGGGTAGTTTGACTAGGATCGGATTCCACAATCTCTCTTAATTTATCGTTATTCACTTGTGTGCGTTCATTTACAGACCCCTCTCCAAACGCAACAATAATATTGCGGGCTCTCAGGCCTTCCTTATGGATGGTCCTCCTGAACCATCCATAAGGAAGGCCTGGGCCCCTGCAGTGGGGACGTAAAAGAGCTGATGATGTTGATGATGATGATAACGTAGACAAGTTCTATACATGGACCCTTGTTGCGACAAATTCTAAAGACCTTGTTACAAAATTAGCAATTTATGATTCCTTGTAATAACTTGTTAAGCTTTCATAGATAGCATGATATATCTCTACTGAAAAAGGTAACTTCATAAACTCTGTAAGTTAGAAATTCGGGATAGTGAGAAACCTCTGCAAGCGAAAAAAGAACTTTTAATTAAAAAAATGAATCCGACTTCAAATTTCAAATACTAAATATTAACCGCCCGAATTCAATATTTCTTAAAAAAAATTGCCGTTTTTAAGATAAGTATTATTTTATACTTTTTGAAATTTGAGGTTGGTTAAATTTTATTTATAAAGTTTTTATTTCATGCATTATAGTCATATTTTGAATTTTGGGATAACAAATATCACGCATACTTTTTGCAAATTTAAGACTGATATGGTTTTCTCATAGATGGCATTGTCAGATCTAGACCAAATTTATGGGACCACACGGCAAGCACTAATTTTCAAATAAAGAAAGAATCATCAAAATTGGTACAACCAGTAAAAAGTTATGATGTAACAAACAGAAAAAAAAATCGAATTGAGAACCTCGGCCTTGGTTTGAAGTCAGTTAAACGGACGTGATTTCTTGAACTCTCTCTTATCCAGGTTCGATTCTATTTAGGTCACTCGCCATTATTCTCGTAATATAAACAATAAATAAAACACGTTATGTACTAAGTTATATTTTTAGATTCTTATGAATATTACTTACAAATTACATTATCCACATTTGTAATAGAGAGAAAGATTTCTTTGGCTTTTCGATTATAAAAAAAAAAACAGAATTTGCTCGTGTCATTCATCACCAACACAAAATGTTATGACATTTCAAAGGGCAGTTCATTTTTAATTAAAATTAGTTCACAACTTATAGTTAATATTAATTGATTTTATACATAAAAAAGTAATATAAAAATAGCATAAAAATAACGCTAACATAGGAATTTGAGTGGAGTCAATAGTAAATCGGTCTATGTACTCGTTTTATTGAACTAAAAGGAACCAGTAGTTGCAGCATTTTGTTGATTGGTCGTGATAACTACTGGAACCCAAGGTTTTATTAATGTCTTCGCCGTTCACGGGTCTACGAAAGAGATCATAATGTAGCGAGTGCCTTTTGTAACCCTCAGCCCCTCATGGTAGTGAGTGAGACGACCTGGATGCATCAAAAGCCAGCCGAGCTTGGTGTTTTGCACAGAGCAGTTGTATCGGATGAATCGGCAACCACCGCCTTCGTAATCAACGTCTGATAAAAAAAAGTTCATTGTTACCATCATACACGGTTATAGACATAATTTAAGATTTAAATCTGAGATTTTTTTGTGTATTTTAGTGTGTATTACATTTTACTAGCAAAAGAAGTGTTTTAAGGTTTTGCCTAAATAATGGTGGCCATTCTGTTGCATCAATATTTAAGGAAACAAATATTAATTTTAGTTAATCTAGAAACTTACTAGGAGTATTCAGAGCCAAGTTGATGGTATAAGTGGATGAATCGTGGTGAGGTCGTAGCGAAGGTTGCTCATCAGGCCGATAACGGACTACAAAGTTCATAATTGACACGGGCGGCTGAAAAAAATACGTATATTCAGACCAGCCATAAGAAAAGCTTAATATAAATACCATAAGGTTATGCTCTATAGTTATCACATAGGCAGACTGCAAAAGTATGAAAACTTAATATTTGTTTAAAATTTTGATTTCAGTTAAAGAGATTAATAACCTTAATAACCTTCAGGTTATGCTCTTTAGTTATCACATAGACAGACTGCAAAAGTAAGAAGACTTAATATCTGTTTAAAATTTTGATTTCAGTTCATAAACTTTAATGACGAAGCCACAAGGTCTTACATATTTTTACAGATTGATTAATGCACAATTTAGTCGATTGCGTGTGAGCTAACAGAGCTGTCGATGCGCTGCGAAAGTTTTAATCGACAAACTAACTACTAGCATTTCAAACGACCAGCAGATAGATTCTACAGCAATTTTTGCAACTGCATATTACGCTGTCTCACTTTCTTGAATTATTTTAAAGTTGGAATTACTGCACTACACGCTTACGAAAACGAGCGGTCGTATTGTCGTATCGTCTCTTTTTTATCCCGCACAGTGTCTACTAGGTACATGGTCATTGAAAATACTTAACGTGAATTCAAACGTTGACTTTTTTGACAGTAAGAATATAGTTAGACTGGTGGAATATGAAACTTATTTATTAAATTTGTTTATTAAATTAAACTAACATTAAATTTAACAAAGGTCCCACGAAACTATTATATAGTTTAACAGTGGCTAACATTTTAAACAAATAAAACTAAAAATGAATGTTAATTTACAAAACTTAATACTAAGTTTATTTTTCATAGGTATTAATTATTTTTCATATTCATAGGTAATAATGTTTTTTTAAGATGGACATTAAACTTACTCCGCGACTACTAACTTACCCCGCGACTTTGCACGCGTAAATGAGCTACCCGTAGGTGAAACTTTTAAAATCGGTCCATTAGTTTCGGAACCTATTCGATGCAAAAAAACAAACAATCAAATCATTCCTCTTAATGTATAATAAATATTATGCTTACATTATGGTAGTATCCAGTGAAAACCATCTCTTGCAGAGGGCGCACGTATTCCTTGAGTATATGGAGCCAGTGACGATCGAGTCCGACCTGGGTCATGTGAATATCCCGAGTAGGTACTGCTTCGTAGCCGCCTTCGAGCCGCTTATCCTGTTCAAGTAAATGCATCACCAATCAGTTAAACTATAAGTTTCAACGATTTATACGATAGATTTTTTATGAATTTACCTACAAGTAAAAGAAAGTTTGAAGTATACTGTTCGTACAATATAAGGGCTTTTATATACGGGATACAGAGATGAGCATACACCAGGGTTATCGTCATTAAACAAATAAATGCTTTTCTCAAAACTTAACACTGACACCGTCTACTATAAATGAATAGAGTTAGTTAGCTTCGTAGTTCCACTACTGAAAATGTGATGAAAATTAGTTAGAATACAAGACTTTACTGAAGCTTAACTTTAAGTTACACAACATACAACAGAAAATATAGATTTTAGAAACTAATTATACAGGAATTAGTGACAATGATAATACGATATCGTTCGTCATTTACTTGGAACTCAACCTTCGTAAGAACCAACTGCTCGCTACGACGAAATTTCCTGCTCATTTTCTTTTTAAATTGTGAATCCATATTTAAAATATACTTCATTCTCCGTGGAATCTAAAGAAATTTTATGTAGGTAATGAAAAAGTTTTTTTGGAATAACATATTCGAAATGATTAATATTACTAGTGATGTACATCTGGGAATATTGCCACTGTCGCAAATTAGCCAAAATCCCCAGTAGATTTTTGTAATATTACGTATTCGGGTGCGAAGTAGATAGTGAGAGAACCATGAATCGATCGCAACGCGCACCGTGGCAAAAAAGAAACTGTTTTTAGACGAACTGTTACTTTTTACTAGAAAAAATTGTTGCATCCGTGCATTTTAAATAAAATAAAGAAACATGCGTCACGAAACCTGCTGCGTAGTTAATGGCGAAAACAGTATTCGAAGTCGAGAGAATCTCTATCATATATTAAATTAAATTCCTCAGAATTTGATATGGCATATTGATGATATCGCTCACTGAATACTACAGTGGCACAACTCAAAAACCATATTTCGAGAAACGCTCTCCGAAGTTATGAAAATTTAATATATTTATAATTATGAAAATCATTTTTTTTAGCATAACAGTTAAATCGTTTGTAATATATTATAACTGTTAAGTTTTTTACTATTTCTTTAAATTATCTATGGGATGCCACCACAATGTTGTGGCGTTTTCTTGAAATAATGGTTTTTGTTGTGCCACTGTAGCATTCAGTGAGCGATATTATGCATATTTGCTGCGGATTAGTAAATTTGCAGTCCTCAATATTTTCTAATAAACAAGCTGGTGTATGATTTTGGGACTGTCATTTAGACTCTTATTATATTTCTATGAATTAAACTGAGAAAAAAACATAATGTAAAATATTTAAAAAATATACAAGATTTTTTAATATTTACTCAATATTCCCAATCAATTCTCACTATGGAAACGCTGCCGGCAATGTTCTCAGCAAAATTTTCAGTCCTTGGCAATATACACGGGTATGGTACATCTCTAAATGTGACTTATAATGAGAAGATTATATAGCAACATTTTTCATATCATTGAAATACTACAAACTAAGATCAAATTTTATTTTTGCATTGTTAATCGACGATATCAATGCTGATAACATACATTATTATCCCTAGCGTTAGAAAACCTAATGACAAAATGCCTAATTTTGAAAATTATCTATGATAAAAATATATGTAACTCAAAAAAAAAGGTCACCTAATTATCGTAGTGGCAAGTTTCCCTTTTCCGGTTTAGTGCTTTGGGGTAATCACGTAAAAAGGGAAATTCTGAAAATATGTTTATCCTATCTAATTGAAAGATGTTTTCTCAATTAAGTTTATTTATTTGCCAACTTATCAAGAGTTGATAACGAACTAGCAAAGTGCTAACCGGACTCGCGCTATTAAATTATTATTACTTTGGTACGCATCAATAACGGACTTCTTGACCATGTGAAAAAATTTAACCAAAAATAAAATATCATACGATATCTATTGTTGCATTAATTATTTGGTTTTTTTTATCCTATAATCTATAACATTATATTTTCACTTCACTTCTGTCCGCCATGAATCGTACTCAAATAACACAATGTAATTGTAATTAAAAACTTACATTATTGGAGCCATCACTCCATTGTCCATAAGCTTCCATAACTTCTATCCATTCTTTGCAGAATCTCGGAGACATCAATGGGAACCAATATACATCAGGACAAGGCTAAAAATGTTAAATAATAAACGTTAACATTAGCATGGCGCAACTGAAAAAGTAGGTCGTGATATTAAATCTAAATGAAAACAATTTTTTTCAGTGCCAGTTTTATTTCTCTGTGGCTAATTTCATTCTAAAATAAGGTCGGAATTCAGAATTGTTAAGTTATTTATAAAACTGTTCACTTTTGCGTAGTTTTTATTATATGCAACTTTACAGAATACAGACGCAATTTGCACTTCCCATTTAATATTTAAAACTATATTTGGAAAATGAAATAGACATGATTGGGATTGAAAAAACTAAATTTTTATTCTAAGTCGTCGTTACGTTTTTATATATTTTCCATAAATACCTACCATTAAGTGTTTTCGGCCCTCTTCAAAATTAATGTTATAATCATCGTGTAAATAGCGAGCTTCCCACTCGATTTTGTTGTCAAACATACTATAAACGTCAGGATGGGTGCGGCTGATGTCATAGTTTTCTGGATTAACTAAATGCCCAAAGTCCAATTCGTTGCTGACGTGCATAAATATACCCTGCATAGAACATGGAAGATTTTACAGTAACTATTAAACGAAACTATATTTATTCTAGGGATAATAATGTCTTTAATTAAGGAAATGTTATATTTAAAAGATTTTTTTTTTCCATAGATCACACAAGTTAACTTTAACAAATTAAATTACATAATGTCATGATTGTAGCAATATTAGTTGAATATTTAATCTTATCAACACTGTTTATGATTCAAAAATAGTAATAAGTAAAATACGTAAAACACGTACTAGTTGTCTCAAATTGGAGCAAAACGCCATATCGGCATCGGTATCTTCAACAGAATATGAGATAGACTTCGCTTCTGTGTTCCTGAACACCGACATCTTCATGAGGTAGCAATTCGTGATGAACGGCACATTCCATATACCTCTGAAAAATAATACCACCGGATATGGGTCAATGTGAAAATGACACTACTGATTAGGCTCTTAGTGGTGTCGTCGACCGCTGATAATATAGATCACGTATTTCGAATAGCAGTTGGAGATAAAAAACAATGCGGTCAAAGTTCAATCATACAATTCACATACTAATAGGAAATAGCTCTCGTGTTTCTTTAATACAGCGATACGATTTTATTTATGATTTATTTAGACATCAAGGTTACCCTAGATTTTTTTACGTTTATCACAGCCTTTTTGATAGATGAAAGCTAAAGTATATTATCTATGAAACTTGTCGTAGTAGAATGTTTAATATAACGCTTCTGCCGTTGCGTTTACAGAAAGATATCAAAGTTTTTGTTTTTGTTATTTTACATTAAAATCATAAACGCTTCAATCATATGAAATTTTCAAACTCTTCAATAGTAAATTAGATAATCGGAATATTTTGATGTTTTGCTACTAAATAGCCATTATTCACAGTTAGATCGTTATTAGTTTGTCATAAAACTTTCCACACGATGTCATTCGCAATATTGAACTTATTTATAGAACACGAAACTTAGTCTTCGCTACGGTGTACAAATCGTGATAGGAAATGACGACTGCCATATTATATCACATAGGGGGAGACAAGGGCCCTCCTGCTATCACCTCCGTCATTAGCCAATTGAGAGATTGGCGCGGCAGGCATCGCCGATACTACAGTTGTGCACAGACCCCGTACAAGAACATACCCGAACCGTTTTCTGAACTAAACAAACTTTACACAAATGTTGCTCAATAAGGGCAAGTTGGTTTTGGCAATGCTCTTGATTGTTTTAATGTGGACATGTCAAATAGAAGCCAGAAGGGGGCGCACTAGGAGCAGAACAAAATCTAAGGTAACTAAACTCCTGACACAGATTTGGAAGCTATTACTTCTCTGTTTTTCCCAATGCGAATTATATGCATGAAAATTTGACTGCTACTGACGTCAATGTATCGTAATAATGAAAACCACAATTGCAGGTTCAAATTGGTTTACCCATTACCGGTAAATACAGAGATCCCGAATCAGATCAATATTATAACAATAATGATGTGAGTAACAATACTTTTTAACAAGTCAGCAAGAATTTTACGATGCTAATAGCGAATGCTGTTTATTGTTAAGAAAGTAATTTTAAATTTATATTGCTTTATAATAATTATAAACTTAAAAGCTTCTGCAACTATTCATTTCAGGGAGCTAAAATATTACTTGCATCTCATTTTGATTTTGAGTACGTCCTTGGTCACAAAATAGCATTTTTGTGCATAGCCAAGGGTTCCCCAAGACCGCATATTACTTGGTTCAAGGATGGAGTTGAGATTTACGCCCATCACTACTTGCATGTAAGCCAAATCTTTCTATCATAAATCTATATTGGAATGATATAGACATTTAACGCTATCAATTTAGTTAAGTGAACAGTGGCAGGGAGGACTCATTGATCTTAATTCCAACTCATAAAGTTGGTATTACATCTAATATTGAATTACTGTTACTCAATGTAATAATACATTATACATTACAGTTTAAAATAATTAATAAACCTTTACTACTTATTATATTTATTTGTCGATATATATAATGTAAAGAATAAAGGATTTGCGATTGCGAAGGTGAATATTGAAGGGATTTGCCTATGATTTTCGGAGACTACAGAGACTCAACAGTAGGCATAGGCAACAACAATAAGAGTTACTCTCAAATAATTTCCAATAAATTTAACATTACTTTTAATTGTTCATTGTTTAATTTGTATTAATATTTTAGATACACGAGTGGCCAATCGGTGAAGATCGTGTGAAGTCAAAGATAGAAATCGACCCGGCTACACAGATGGATGCAGGCGTATACGAATGCACCGCCGACAATATGTACTCCATAGACAGGCGCTCTTTTAAAACAGACTTTTCTATTGCATTTGACTGAAAATGCTCGGTTATAAAAGTCATGTAAGACTAACGATTAGTCGTAAACGGTACATTTACATTATATTCAATTTATTTTTTGAAATATTAAAAGACTATGAGTTTGACGTTAATAAATATATATATATTTTTTGTTTCAATATTTAACAATGTTATTTTTTAATTATTTTTCCATTAAGACCAGTTTGCGTTCGTTTTAGCTACTTTACTTGAAATCTAGCTTTGTGTGTGTTGTTTAATATTAATTATTGTTTATTGTTAATATAAAAAATGAAAATCTTACTTGACAGCATAATAAACAATGTCCATATAGTCTGATGATCTTGCATAAAACCCTGCAGAGTTTATTGCACCCCAGAAATTAGACCAAGCTTGTCCAGGCCGCACCAACATTGGCGCTATGACGTCATATCCAGACGAAAGGAGATACCGTAAAGTTTTAGGTTTTACTCTAGAAACACTGTCGATGGAGAAAAGATAGTCACACACGCTGTTGACACATCTATCCCTGAAATAAATAAACAATAGCATAAACTTACAACTCTGTTTAAAATATATGGTTATTGGTTATGCTTGATCAATAAAGAGATCAACTACAACGTATTTAAGTTATAAATTATAAGCTGTAATTTTACTTTGTATTACTGTTACTAATGTTATGAAAATGATAAACCAATTCAAATATTTAAATTTCTTACTTGGCTATAGTTCTTGCTTCACCTTCAGATATAAAATCGCTCGGTTTGATCCGTTTAGCGGTAGCATAATTCTTGAAATTGGCTTGGAAAAATTCATCAACCTCAGTCTCGTGGTATTCCACATTGTTTCTCAGAATCAAATGGATCTTTGATTTGGGATAGTCGATGTTGTTCAATTGCTGTAGAAACTCTTCCAAAAATGGCGTGGGTTGTTCTATAAACACTGCCACCATGACACTTGGTAATTCATTTTCCTAAAAAGTTTTAGGTTAATTTTATACTAAGAATTTCCAATAAGCTACCACAAATCTAATCAAAAAATATTTAAACAAATTATACCTTTAATTCAATTTTTTTCTCAGTGCAAAGTGCACATCCTTCTTTCATCGACCAAGACTTGGCCAAATAATTACCCAAGTGATTCAAAGTTAGTTTTGATGGTCCATTTGCGTGTACTATCAAAGGCCTTTCTTTTGTTACTACATTTTCTATGTAAGGCCAATCTTCTGTGGTATTCGATCTCAACTGGACATCAGCTGCAATTAAATATAAAATAGTATAACAATCAATTGCGAATACACAATCATAATTCCAAATAGTACTCACATAACGCTCCATTGAGATTTTGAAATATCTTTGATTCGTGATCTAGTGAAATCTTCAAACTTTGTCTCAATTCTTTATCTAAATAAATTTTTGTATAATATAACTGATCGTCATCCAGATCCTTGACTGGTTTATAATTTAATATTTCAGATAACTCTGCGAGATACCCTGTAATATTATTACATAATTTTAGTATTACCAAACACTAGGGATAGGACTTTAAACTAATGTTTATGTTATTGTACATCTGAATGTCTAAAGATAAACATCTTGATATTGTATAATATCAATAAGTGAACCTAATCACAATATGAGCTGTGGGAAATTAAACAATATTAACAAATTATTGAGCCTACTGAAATAATGTTTAATATAATAAAAGGATTGTTATTAAATTTTATTAAAATCTAATATTAAACAACCAATATTTTTATCAAATAATAGATGAATGGCTTATTCAAATAATATTAACAATATTTTGTAAAGAAATAAAAAATACTCTCATATATAATAAAAAGAATAAAAGTGACACAAAAATACCTATAAATCCGCCCGAGTTCAAGTATGGATTCGCAACCTCGGTCTTAGGATACTGTCCAGCTAACTTGCTATCTGGCCAGCAAAATTGTTCAGCAGAAAATAGAACTCGGGTATCTTTGAATGATTTGAATTTATTCACTATATCCTCTATAGGTGCAAGGAACATAACATCGTAGCTGCAAATGAAATTAATTACTTTAATGTTTATATAAATGACAATGCATAAGAATTTATTATAACTTATAAAACATCGAAAGTGTAAAAAGAAAAAAAAAATCCCCCATATTTTCGTTCCATAAACGATAGTAAACTTTAGAATAATCAGTTAGACAGCACCAGTGAAAAATTAAGTAGCTACAGATTATCTTGATAAGGACATGTGATAAGAAAAGACGACATGTAACTAAAAGGTAAATGTGGCAAGAAATGTAAGCAGATAAACACAAAATCAAAGATGACAGTGTGATAGATGATATGCATAAGAGTCAATGTTGACATGATGGCTGACTATGAAACTATGAAAGAATATTGTATCAACTCCATATAAGAAATTGGGAAAAGGGAAAGCAATTGATGAGATAGTAAAACATTTTATATCCTAGTGTAGTAGGCTGTTTTTAATAAAATTTTATCTTTCAAATTCAGACAGTTTTATTATCAAGCATAATCTGCTTTACATACCTATTTACACCCTAAATTCGGAATGTCATTAATGCAAAGATGATGGTTATGATTTATGTTAAGGCATAGGTATGTTGCTGGTAAATGCTAGTGATGATTTTATTATAGCATTAATGTCCAATGCTATGGATGTATTATTACAACATAGTTCATTGAGACTAAACCAAACCAACTATTGCGTCATCCTTTGTCGTCGAGGGCGACGTGTCCCGTCGCTACATGAATAGGATTTAGAAATCACTTCTAATGATTTTGACAAATCAATTTTTTCGCAGATTTCGTAGTAAGCACTACAAACTTATACTTACAAATACTTTAATAAGGAGAATGATTTTAATTTGTGAGAATTTATAAGCTCTCAATCAACAACCTCATTAGAATAAATAACTAACATAAACAGGGACATTTACTTACATTTGATACAGGTACTATCAAAGAATGTAATATAATGCTACCCAGCCAACTTAAAATTTTGTGTTTGAATGGTTAATTAGAAATTATTGTTTATAAATCATAAAAGAAAAACATTAATGGAATATTATGATAAAATATGCAAATTATACCTATCTGTAAACAATATGATTTGGTCCTTGTTATCATTTGATTTCATCAATTCTAATACTTTCTCTTTCAAAATGTTTATCTTTTGTCCTCCTCCAGCATAATTCATGTCACCTCCTGTCCACTTCCTCCCTTTACCAAGAACTTCTACATCAATGCCATATATTCGAGCTGATCTAAGAAATCTTTCCAATCCATGAGTGTCATCAGTGGCCACTGTAAACACTTTTATGCCATCTGAAACTATAAAATATTATATTTACTTGATGACACAAAACACTAAATAAATAAATATAAATGTGGGTAAAACCTGTCAAGCATCTATGTAATAAAGGCATGATATAAACTGTAACTGTAACAATCTATTTCACTGACTTCAAAATAATAATTAACTTAAAAGTAACATATTCAAGAAAATGCTATTGTAGTTGGGCTCCTATCATTAAATTAATAAGCCACAGTAAACCTCCACCTGACTTCAATAGCATTTCTTTGAATAATTTGCATTTGAGATAAGTATTTTTTATCACTTTTTTAAGTTTGAAGTGAGGTCTCTTTTTTAAGTTTTTTAATTAATTACCTACTGTTTTGATATTGTTGGTATTTAATTTTGTAATATCAAAATATATTATTAATGTATGCATGGAAAATTTCAAATAAAGATGGCACCCATTTTTTCTGATAGTAGTATCTATTTAAAATAATAATAACATTTATAAACCCTTTGAAAGAAAGATGGAGATTGAGAATATAACAATAAGTGACTAGTAAAGATGTACACTAACCAGACAGAGGTTTATCAACTTACTACTTTGTGTTCCTATTATATGGATAAAAAAGAAACCATATGATAGGTTACATTAAAGTTTTTTAAGCTTTATTTTTGTTTTAGTGTATTTCAGTAACATTCTTTATATAATTATTTAATTGCAATCTTCTATGTGAATAATTAATTTTATAACAATATTATTAATTTATTTAATTAAAGAAATTTATTGAAAAAATAATCCCTTTTCACAGCAATAAATTTTGTGGACAGAGGCATGAATAATGGCATGCATACCATTGATTCGTCATCCCTTGTATAGAAAATAAAGCATATACAGGAACCACAAATATATTCTATATACACTAGTTCAAGCATAGAACTTTCTAAAAAAGTTATCTACTCATTAATCTAAGGTAAATTTAATTCTATGGAACCATATAGATAATTGCTTTAAAAAAGGTTTCATTCGCAAAACAATTGAGAAGCTGATATGGAGAATATAATTCATAAAAAATACATTCTTCTATAAAACATTATTTAATAATAGTTAAGATAATTTTAAGTACCTTTCACTCCGACCAAAGTACTGTACTTCTATTTTAAAGTATTAGATGTTTATGAAAGCCCTGAGTTGTAATGAGACATACAATATTTTATCACATTTTTCAATATTATTTGAACAGTTTTTACCAAAACTTTTCAATAACAGAGCTCAAAGATGTTACTTAGTGGTTATCTTACTTAAAAACATAGTAAACTACCTAGTATTCATGAAGAAGGCATAGTACCTACAGAGTCCAACAAATGTATACTATGCAACATATTTCATAAGTAGCATACTATTTATTAGATAATATGAAATATAATAAAAACAAAATCAATATATAAAATAAGGAATAACGCCAGCACATTATATAGTTAAAAATTATCTCACCTGTCGCTTTTGTCTGACTGAGTATTATAGATATTAAAAGTAGTTGAACGAGCTTTCCAGTTTTATCCATGATCGCACAGTTCAACACCCTTCCGTGTACTGGTATATAAATTGAAGCTCGTTAAAATAACGCAGCGGCTAAAGAAAGACTCATTTATTGCTCCAGATTGTGTTCCCGCTTCCTAACCGATAAGTTTTCAGTATATGACGTCCTCTGCCTGTACGATAGTGAGTACTTCCTGCCGTCAGTCGATCACTACGTTATTTTAATAGATTTAATCAATCAACCGAGTTACGTATATTTTAGGTTTAAGTGATAATTTAATAAAAAAGTTTCAGTATTTATCCTTTATGAGAACACAACACATCTAACTCAAACAACGGACTTCGCCGAACTAGCTAAATTAACTATCGAACATTCGAACCGAATTGTCAAGTACGAAGGCTCTAAGTTGAACGAGCCGCCAAATGAATGGATATTAAAACCAAAACAACTCTGTCTGATGTTTTCGCTGCGGGTTCCTTATTTTTAATTCATGACGTGGATTTCGCCAGAATCCATTATTTCGCTCAATTTACTTCATATTTTAGTATTTTATTGACCCTGCTTTTTGTATGTTGGTAGTGAAAAACCAAAAACCCAAGCGAAATTTTGAATTAAGTAGGTACTTACAATACAAAAAGGATTTGACAACCTAGTACCAAATGCCATAATGCCAACACTAATGTGACAGTTTTTTTTTTAAACATGCAAAGGTATCAAGCCCGTACAGTATAGTCGAACACTTACTTCATCAATTGTTGTTCGATACGAATCTTGGTATTAACAATTTGTTTCAATAATTTCAACAAGTCTTTAAAGCTTAAATAAAGATGAAGTAATACAGAAAAAAATCACAGGTAAAAGAAGTGAATCAGACTTATTCCGCCCTTAGGAAACAATTAAAAAATAAAACAATTAGGTATTGTTTGTCGACCCAAAGGCTAAAATAAGGATGAAATTTCTCAAAAGTGACTGAAAATCGATATAATTTACATTATCGTATCGTATCGATAACTCAATCTATACACATTAATACAAAACGCGAATTTGGTAATTTATGCTATATATAACTTAACTCCTAGCGTTACGTAGCGCTAGGAGTTAAGTAATATACCCACAATTAAACCGTATCATAGACATATCAGATATTAAACCCTCCTTTTTTAAATGCCATAAGGTAAAATATAAATGAAGCGAATATCATATCCAATGAGGAAGTATTAAAAAAAAAAACAGTTCCTGAAATCAAACTAGATGTCGCTACGGTACGGTCTTGATTTCACCATGACAACCCTTCCAGTTTTTCTTCTTGTTTAAAGTAAATTAGTTATCGAAATTCAATAAACAACTATATTCTATTTGCATTTTTTCTTATTTGTATTGATATCTAAGTTTCAAATTTTAGTTTTTTGATATGTTAGTTGAAAGGAACAGAAATGACTGTCTTTGGTCCATTCGTTTCCTGCAATTATCAACTTTTGCTAGAGTCGCCATCTAATTTAGGTGCTTTTTTAGTACTTTCGTTGTTTTTTTTTTAAATTTCTCATGGCTCGATGGAATTCGACCGATATCGAATCAGATCTTTGATTCAAATTCCCGCGGCAATTTGTATAACTAAAATGACAGATCAGCCATGTTGTCATTGTCAGGCGTTATGATTGGTGCATTTGTATTTTGGGTTGCTAGCTGTATGTTATTTACCATTTAATTCGGTATTTTATCTGATTTCACTCGTTTATGTTGAAGAATTGTGTTGTTGTTTATTTAGGAAAGTTAAGATATTTTAATATATATTAAAATATTTTTTACAATATGTATTAATATAGTGTGTGTTGAACAATAAATATAACCCTAGAAGATTGGTTTAAAAAATGTAAATATGTAGAGCGTCTTGGATATGAATATTTTAAAACCTACGGGCTGGTAGATAACGAAATGGACTGGTGTTTGATTCCTACATCTAGTGCAAGCGAAACAAACTCTGGAGTAGACTGGAGAGCGCATTGGTTCATTCTTGGTACAAACATATCTCACCGATTTGTGATGCGGGGCGAGCTCAGTTTCGGTGGTGTTTATTATCTACTTAAAAATCACCGGACACTCTAGGGTTGCCAAGTTGGTAAATATATCGATATCCATAAAATAGGTTAATCAATTCCAATAAATTGAACGAATAATTTGTTTATAACAAAATAGAAATAATTTACATGCGTAATACATAAATAATCAAAGCGGTTGCTACCAGGAGACAATAATACTTATTATTTCACTTATTCTAGAGTAGAAATAAAACAAATAATTTTGTAACAAAAATAATTTTTGAATTTACTTTTTGAAACGTATTACTTATGGATCTACATTTGGATCATACCATAGTCCCGTTTCACAAAACTGTCAATCAACAGGTAAATTATTCACTTTTTATATGAATTATTTTTAACATTTCGCATATGATTATATTAATAACTATTTCGCATTCCTCATTATTATTAGGAATACACAATTTTTCTTATATGTACAAAAAAAATAGCTGTTCATTTGTTTCGCTAAAACTCCAGAACAGCTGGCCCAATTTAGCAATTATAGTTTTGAAACGTTCGTAGCCTGGGGAAGGTTTAAAAGGTGAGAGGTGATACGAAGTATACCGGGTCTTCTGGACCAGGAATTCTGCAGACACAAATTTATTTAAAAACCATATGTTAAAAAACCGAGATAAAATTATGTAACTTATATTATAATCAAGACTATATCTTTGTCATTTATATCTTACATTTTTCTTAAAAAATTATACTTATTAATTAAAACTTACACTAATTTTATATTAAAATGTTTTGTTGATTGTTTGTGCTGCTGCTGAACTTGAGAATTTTCCGAATTCAGTGATAGTACCTGTAAAACATATCTTAAGGATATATTTTAATAACCAATCTACATAAAAAGATACTTGCAGTACAGTGTGGGTAAAGATGAGCTGTATAACAACGTTTATTTTTCAAAATTTCAAAAAGTCTGGGTCAAAAATTTAGAACATACACCTAACGAATACTAGCTGAGTACTAGAAAAATATTTATTTTGTCTCTTTATTGGGCTAATGTCTATATCGTCAAAGATTTCATAATTAATGGTAGCCCATGTAAACATATAATAATAAAACAAAACTTTATAGCTTATCATATTATATTTAAATTAAACCAATTATATAATATTTTTGAAATCTATATTCGGACTTTGTCGATATATGTATTTTGTTACGATGTGGTTGTACGGCACTATCAAGAAAAAAGAGATGACAATATGAGAAAGCAATGCAGACGGCATCGAAGACATCAACGCGCTCATTTCAGAAGTAATAATTTAAAATATTTTTTTGGTTATATTTCAAAATTAAAATAAAGTTAGAAATTTACTTACTTGTGAAATTATATCCCATGTCTCGTGAAACTTGAAGTCATAATGCACTTTCCACACCATTTATTACTGCAACTAGGATTTTTTTCTAATTGTTTTTAATTTTAAAGCGAGAGAGCGTAATGTACCAACCTATGCTTTATTATAACTTCGACGGACGGAATAATTTGTTAGTGCTCTTGAGTTAGCGTATTATTTTTGAAGTGCTAGCCCCCGCATGCTAACTCCAGTCTACACCATGTGATAGTGATTTTATGTTCATAATTCAAACACATAGTGACTGTGTATGTCTGGAATAAACCCAATTGCCGACCACATTAGGTGATAAAACTACATATTAGTTATAATCTTTTTATTTATTTCCACTTATACTATTTGAAATAGCGTACGGAATAATCCGTTTGGTCAGATTACGTGTAATATTAGTAGGATCAGTGGCGTAGCTAGGTAACCTAGGGCCCTGGGGCAAATAAAAAAATTGGGCCCACTGCTCGAAATAAACTTGACTCGAAGTTCACAATCGCGAATCACAAAAACGCATATCGATAAATAATAATATGCAGATATTGATATCCGACAAATTGATGAAAACATTAATAACACTGTCAACCCACACAAATAATTTAGGGGAATTCCCTTTTTATAACTTTGGAATTTCTTACAACTGAGTTGCCATGATTAAACTCGAGTTGTCACCTGTCATATTTATTTTGAAAATGGGAGAAATTTTCAAAAGTTGAGTGCGATTGAGATTTTCTGACAAAGATTCGAGGGCCCCCTGAGCTTGAGGGCCCCAGGGCACTGCCCCGCCTAGCCCCTTGGTAGCTACGCCACTGAGTAGGATGTCACTCTTTTTTTCGTATTTTAAAGTATACCTAAATGTTAATTGTTTATTTTTATAATAAATTTTTTTGGAACTTGATAATACTCTGCAATTACAAATATTAAGCGACGTTCGCAAAGGCTGGTATTCGGTTGGGTTATCTTTTTTTATTTAGCTGAGCGAGGTGGTGCGGGTTGTGGCGAGTTTTTGCGCTCTTCTCTTCTCCTATGCGTAGCATTGTTTAGTGGGTTTGATCTACGATTACGAAAATTAAGTTACGTTGAAAAAAGTCAATAAAAGGGTTTTCTTTTTTTATTTGGCTCCTCACACGCTTCTGTTTATTTGGGTTTAAAAACAAACACCGTTGAAAATAGTTAGAATATCGCAGTGCCCGTATATCATCGAAGCTTTATAATCAGCCAATATTAGCAATATTAGCTAATCATGAATTTGCTCGATCTCTTTATCACAGATTACCTACCAGCCATTTAGTATTGTTGAAGATAAAGGGTTTAAAAACTTCGTAAAAAATATTCCACCCACTCCCCAGTAGAAACTCTATATCTGGTTCTATGATTAGATCATTATATCAAACCACTTTAAAATATATGAAAGATATAGTGTTTAAAAAAGCGAAAATCTACATTGGAAACGTTTCGGACGTTATGAGCATTCGTTCAATTGTGGCTTATTATAACCGAAGTCCTAATAAGCCGCATTTTTTTACATTATTTTATTTTTTACGTTATTGCAACTAAGATGCTATTAACTTACTAAATAAAAACATAACAAACTGTGGTGACCCAAAGTGACTTAGTTAACGAGTGTTGACCAGGTGGATCCAACCTTTTATATGGTAAGAAGATTTTAATAACTAAACAGGCCATTAAACATTGCTTAGCACTCATTGACCAAGAATGGCCTTAAGTCAGTTCTATGGACTGAAACGGACGGTGAAATTACAATGAACTGGGATACATCACATTCTTTGTTCTCGAGCTCGTTAAAGGCCTCGAGAACAAGAGTTTTGGCAATCAACGGCTTTTCAATTCGTCTTAATAGACTAAATATGCCCGCAAATCAAATGGCAGTAGTAAAAGAGTCTGTTCTTGTTGGCAGTGT